GAATTCCACGTGGCACAGTGAGTGAGGTGGAAGGCCGTGGGACAAAATAGGCAGAAGTGTAGAGTTTCACATCTGAAACTGGAATTGGAGCCAGACAGGAGGCTGCTGAGAAAAAAAGGTGGTAAGATGCCTCTTGGATAGGGGACTCAGGAAGAAAGAGCCAGAGGTTCGTTGGAGTTGAGAGGAAGGCAGACTGAAAACGGGAAGGGCATTCTAGGCCAGACCTGAAGGTAGCCAGTGAGATGTCCATGCCCTGGCCACAGTGCCTACCTATTACCCCCGCCATCACCAGGTACCTCTGCGCCTCCAGGTATGATTCTTCTGTGCTTGACAGCAGACCCAGACCTGCCTTGGCAGGAATCCAGCTCAGGGAGATACCACAGCTGACGGAGCTGAGGGCAGTGGCTAATGGGCAAGCTGACCTCTCTCTTCTTGCAGACATCGACCAACTCATCGCCATCAGCGGCATGGTAATTAGAACATCCCAGCTCATTCCAGAGATGCAGGAGGCCTTCTTCCAGTGTCAGGTGTGCGCCCACACAGCCCAGGTGGAGATGGACCGCGGCCGCATCGCCGAGCCCTGTGTCTGTGAGCGCTGCCACACCACCCACAGCATGGCACTGATCCACAACCGCTCTGTGTTCTCTGACAAGCAGATGGTATGTGGCCTTCCTGGGGGCGCTGGGTGGCCCTCCCTTTGGCATGTTTGCCTTTTTTTTCTGCTTTGATCTGGATCCTCAAAAAACCTAAAAAAAAACTCCTCCACTTGTGAAGCCTTAAAACCCTGCTTCCTAAATGGTGTTCAGTTACCTCATTTCTTCTCTCTAATTGTAGGGTTTGTTACAGGGTTGTGGGCTGGATACTTGGGGCACAGTTAAGGCTTCTACTTTAGGATGCCAGTGTCCCTGCTTTATTGCCAGTGAGCACCAGTTCATATTTCACATTCTCATGGCATAAAATACTTTATAAAAAAAGATAGAGTGCATTCTTCCACCATACACATCTTAACTTTAATGGTTGACAGATCAAATTAGTCTCTTTGATTTATTAAATATAACATGAGATGTTTCTAACCAAACTATTAAAGATTATTTAAAAATTTTAAAAATTTTAGTGTTTTTAAATAAGATTATATAAAATATTTAAGATTCATAAAAAGTATTTGGTTAAAAACTCATTTTTGCAAGTGGTCCACTGGTAAAAAAAAAAAAAATGAGTTGAGAAGTTTTTCTAAAGTTCTTCTCACAGATTTTATTGTATAAGAAGTTTGACCTTTTACCTCTCTAATCTTAAGTGAAGTTCTTAAAATGACAGAAATAAGTGGGGGAAATGCAGAAAAATCATTTTCTATTGTAATAGTGTAAAAGTATGCACAAAGACTTGTTAAGTTTTATTTTGTTGCAATGTTTAAATAATTTTGGTGTTAAATAAGGAGAATGTGTTCAAAATACTACAAAAGATAATTTCCCTTATTGGGAGTCCATAAGAAAAATATTAACAAATGTGAAAAATAATTACCAAATAATTGAAGATTTAGTTAATATGTAAATTGTATCTAATATTGGTACAAATTATTGGAGCAAATGGACCTCAACTCATGCCAGCCAGCATGGTGTTAAGAGCTGGATATACAAAGGTGGAACTCCTGCTCCCAAAGAGCTTTCGTGTATATTTGTAGAATGCTTCAAAGACTCCCAAACAAACTTAGAATAAAACCTAATGTCTTTCAGAGAAGCGTTGATCAGACCGACAAACCTCAGAGGGAAGGTAGGGGAGGGTGGGGGTAAGGGGCAGAGATCAACCAAAGGACTTGTATATATGCATATAAGCGTAATCAGTGGACACAGACATGGGAGTGGGTGGGGGGATAAGGACACATATGTAATACCTTAATAAATAAAGAAAAGAAAAAAACCTAATGTCTTAAACTCATATCCAAGACTATATGGTCCATCATCAGCCACAACACACCTTGGTACCCACAGACCTCATCGATGACAGTGTCTCAGCTATTCCTTTATACCTAGACTAGAGGCCTGGCGCACAGCTTCGTGCACTGGTAGGGTCCCTCGGCCTGGCCTGCACCCTCTCACAATCCAGGACCCTTCAGGGGATGTCGCACTGCCAGTTTTGGCCTGATCCCTGCAGATAAGGCCCAGGGACCCCACGGGTGCACAAATCCATGCACCAGGCCTCTAGTATGCATATAAGATCTTTGGTTAATCTCTTCCCGACCTCCCCCCTCCCCACTTCCCTCTGAGATTCATCAGTCTGTTCCATGTTTCCATGCCTGGGCATTGAGCATCTGCCCCCTGGTGGTCAGTGCATGTCATAGCTACTGGTCAAACAGTCAGATGGTTGCTTAGGCTTTTTTATATATATAGATCATCAATCAAGCTCAAGCCTGCTGTAAAACCTTTGCACTTGATGCTCTTTTTTTTTCTTCAATATGTTTTTATTGAATTTAGAGAAAGGAAAGGAGAGAGGAAAACATCAATCAGCTGCCTCCTACACACCCCCTACTGGGGATTGAGCCTGAAACCCAGGCATACAAACTGGTGACTTCTAGGTGCATGGGACGATGCTCAATGAACTGAGCCACCCCTGCCATGGCTGAACTTGCAGTTCGTTACATTGAGAGCACATACTTCCTCCCTAATATCCTTAAACCTCATCCAAGAGGTCACCTGATTTGAGAAAGGCCTTTCCATCCAGGAGATCTAGAAGCAGCTTCTAAAAATAGAAATGTAGACAAACATTTATACAAAGAGATACCCACTAAACCTTAAAATGGCAAAAAATAATCACCTAAATTGCTGCCTCCCTGTTCCCCCAAATGTAATATTTAAGTAAATAACATTCTCACAAAAAGTGTTCATGTCACATTAAAAGCTTTGTTAAAAACCTAACTACCTTGAGATTGAAATAAAGAACAGTGTTTTATGCCGAAACCGGTTTGGCTCAGTGGATAGAGCATCGGCCTGCAGACTGAAAGGTCCCAGGTTCGATTCCAGTCGAGGGCATGTACCTGGGTTGCGGGCACATCCCCATTGGGAGATGTGCAGGAGGCAGATGATCGAAGTATCTCTCTCATCGATGTTTCTAACTATCTCTCTCCCTTCCTCTCTGTGAAAAATCAATAAGATATATTTTTTTAAAAAAAGAACAGTGTTTTAAAAAGTAAAGATGCTGGGGATCAAAAGTACTTCTTACTTAAGTGGTACAAAGACTTGCTATTCTCATTATGCTTTCTTCCTTTGCTGACTCTGTTTTCACTGCTCTCTTCAGATCAAGCTCCAAGAGTCTCCCGAAGATATGCCTGCAGGCCAGACTCCTCACACTGTCATCCTTTTTGCTCACAATGATCTTGTTGACAAGGTTCAACCTGGGGACAGAGTGAACGTTACAGGTAGGAATGTAGGCTGTATTAATGCAATAAGCCTGTCTTGGCTTTTTTTTTTTCATTGACTTATTTGTTGTTTTTTGTTAATCCTCACCTGGGGATATTTTTTTCATTGTTTTTCAGAAAGAGAGAGAGTGGGAAGGAGGGAGGGAAAGAAGAGGGAGAGAGAGAAAAACATCAATGTGAGAGAGAGACATCCATTAGTTGCCTGCTGCAGAGAGACTTAACGGGGCGGTGGAGGGAAGGGCACTACCCATGTACATGCCATTGGCCATTGAACAGGAATCGAACCCGAGACCCCTTTGGTGCGACAGCTGATGCTCTAATCACTTAGCCACGCCAGCCAGGGATCAATTGATTTGCTTTTAGAGAGAGAGCGAAAGAGAAACATCATTGATTGGCTGCCTCCCACACAGATCAAGCCTCCAACCTGGGCATATGCTTTTAGGGGGAATCAAACCAGCAATCTTTTGGTGCACAGGACGATGCCCAGCCTGCTGAGCCACTCTGCCAGGGCTGTCTTACTTTTAACCACACTTTTCTGTCAGTGCTTTGACTTGGTCATGAATTGGCATGGGGCTTGGTCCTGCCTCCAGCTGTCATTCAGATCATGAGCTGGGTGTACTGCTTTAGTCACTTTCTTAACCCGGCAGGACAGAACATATCAGTGCCTTGTCCTTAGTCACTTGCTTCCTGCTCTTGGAGTAACCCAGAGCTATGCAAGTATCTTGAATGATAGTGTTGGCATCTTGAGAAAACAAATTCAGACACTGGCAAGATTTGAGCTATGCCAGCAGCTCCAGGAAGTAGGTCTCACCAACTCTGGAATTTTAAATAATTCTACTTATTTCCTAAATGCAAAGTTAAGGGTTAAAATTTATTATAGAAAAAAAAATGGATCAGAGCACCCTGCTTCCATTCTGGGAGTTACATTATGGTATTTTTAGAGATCGGGAAGCTGAGATTCAGGGAAGTATTGATCAGTGTAGCTAAAATCCTAAGTAATTTGTGAAACGAGGACTCATGCTCTATTACTGCCAAGGAAGTACTCTCCACTGCACCAGATGAATATGTCAGTTTCTTTTGCTGCTTCATAGCAGTGTGGGCACTTGGCTTCTCCGGGGTGGGGGTAATTGTGTTTATGGCAGGCATAGTTCTTGAATGAAGGCAGTGTGGAAATTGCGTCCAAGGAGCACCTAAGGGTCCTGGGCAGTCAGTCCATCTGTTCCATTCAGTGAATCTGGACTTCTCATCCTGTGTCTTC